TCTAGATGGCATTGCTCTGGCCTCTAGCACTACCGTAAGAAACCTCGGAGTAATATTTGATCAAGATTTGTCTTTTAATTCTCATTTAAAGCAAACCTCACGGACTGCATTTTTTCATCTGCGTAATATTGCGAAAATTAGGCCTATCCTGACCCGAAAAGATGCAGAAAAATTGGTCCACGCTTTTGTTACCTCAAGGCTGGATTACTGTAACTCTCTATTATCAGGTAGCTCTAGTAAGTCCTTAAAAACTCTCCAGCTAATTCAGAATGCAGCAGCACGTGTACTAACAGGAACTAAGAAACGAGATCATATTTCTCCTGTTTTAGCTTCTCTGCACTGGCTCCCTGTAAAATCCAGAATTGAATTTAAAATCCTACTGTTAACTTATAAAGCTCTAAATGGTCAAGCTCCGTCATATCTTAGAGAGCTCATAGTGCCATATTATCCCACCAGAACACTGCGCTCTGAGAACGCAGGGTTACTCGTGGTCCCTAAAGTCTCCAAAAGTAGATCAGGAGCCAGAGCCTTCAGCTATCAGGCTCCTCTCCTGTGGAATCATCTTCCTGTTACGGTCCGGGAGGCAGACACCGTCTCCACATTTAAGACTAGACTTAAGACTTTCCTCTTTGATAAAGCTTATAGTTAGGGCTGGCTCAGGCTTGCCCTGTACCAGCCCCTAGTTAGGCTGACTTAGGCCTAGTCTGCCGGAGGACCCCCTATAATACACCGGGCTCCCTCTCTCTCCCTCTCTCTCTCTCTCTCTCTCTCTCTCTCTCTCTCTCTCACTCTCATCCTATTACTGCATCTTGCTAACTCGGCCATTCTGGATGTCACTAACTCGGCTTCTTCTCCGGAGCCTTTGTGCTCCACTGTCTCTCAGATTAACTCATATCGCAGCGGTGCCTGGACAGCGTGACGTGTGTGGTTGTGCTGCTGCCGTGGTCCTGCCAGATGCCTCCTGCTGCTGCTGCCATCATTAGTCATTAGTCATACTTCTACTGTTATTATACACATATGACTATTGTCACACATGTATACTGCCAGATATTAATACATACTTTCAACATATTGTACCACAGTAGCCAGAACTATAACTATAATATTATTACTTTCAATAATGTTGTTGTAAGCTACTGTCATTACCTGCATCTCTCTCTCTCTCTCTCTCTCTCTCTCTCTCTCTCTCTCTCTCTCTGTCTCATTGTGTCATATGGATTACTGTTAATTTATTATGCTGATCTGTTCTGTACGACATCTATTGCACGTCTGTCCGTCCTGGAAGAGGGATCCCTCCTCAGTTGCTCTTCCTGAGGTTTCTACCGTTTTTTCCCCCCGTTAAAGGATTTTTTAGGGGAGTTTTTCCTGATCAGCTGTGAGGGTCATAAGGACAGAGGGATGTCGTAAGCTGTAAAGCCCTGTGAGGCAAATTGTGATTTGTGATATTGGGCTTTATAAATAAAATTGATTGATTGATTGATAAAGAATCAAGCAACTTACTGGTTTAAATTGATGAAGTACTGATCATTACTGTGTACAATACAATGTTTAGAAGACTATTTATTTATTTAGGAGTTTTGTTCATCTAATACTGTAAGTCCATACAAGGTAGTTAGTCTTCAAGTGAAGCAGGTATTCATGCACCTATCCTGTCAAGCTGGTACATGTGTATGATTCATTGTGATCCACCATGTCTTAACAAAAATGTTTGTCTTTTACTGTAATTCAAAAGGTATCCACTCTGTGACACCTGAATGACCAATGCCAACAGAGGAAAGACCTCATGTATGGAGCAATGTATTTGGTGCCATTCATCTGGACTGTGGAGAAGGAAGACAGCATGGACAACAGTTCTCAAAGGTGTTGTGATTATGATGCCAGAAAACCACTTAAAGTTCAGCCTCCTCTGATAAAAGGACAGACCAAGTTTTCCCAGTTTTTTTTTGTTATTTTTTTGTCCATAGTATTCATAGATTCAGTTTCTTACCTTTGACTTAATTTCTGTTGTTTTTTTTTTATAGCTGATGGAAGTACAGTATTAACATATGAAAAAACATAATTCACTTGGATCACTACGGACGAGCAGTATGGAGATATTTTGTGATTTCAATTCTGTGCTCTTGGACGTTTTAATCTGGGGCGCCGTCAGCCATTAGGTGGAGTTGTGTTGCCACCCACTTCCCCCTCGATCTCCGCTAGTGTTGTGAGGACTCTAAAACTTCACCAGAGCCTCCCTTGGCATATGGGTGAGTAGATAATGGCTGAATTTTCATTTTTGGATGCACTATCCCTTTAACTAAAGCACAGTCATCACCTGCACAGGTGAAGGTATTTCCTAATTTGACATCAAAAGGATCTTCATTAGGAAACAGCAGGAAATGGCCAAACCAGAATTGCGCCCAGGAGCAAAATGTGACTCCTGTAATAGATGTGTATGGAGTATTCATTAGGCATACAAACTCAAACTTTAATTTCAAAGCAGTTGGGCTTCGTAATTCATCTCATGTGTTCTTGTATGTTTTTTCATTTGATTGGGACCTGTCAGCATGGTGCAGCTTATGTACAGTAGTTTTATTCAAAGCTATAACTGAAAATGTTTATTGCCTTTGTAATTTGTGATGATATTTTTCTTTTACATTGAATTTTAAATATACTATATACGATACTACTATAAAATACTGTAGCTGTGGGTCACAGAAAAGGTAAACTTAACTGTTATAAGTGTAGTGTAATGTACTCGTTTGATCTTATGCTTTGTCCTCAAGTGACCTTTAAAATACATGTCGAGGCAGTGTACTCTGCTCACTTACACCCAGTCACACATTGGTTTACTATTTCATGTATCCACATATTACGCACACATACACACACACACACACACACACACACACACTCATCTGTCTATGTATAGCATGCAAGCACTTAAGACTGTGATGGAAAGTACCTAGGATTCAATGTGCATTATTTTTAAAAAATAGTGTGAGACTGGGCTCGAACATAATGGTGGGAAGGTTTGGGAAATTCCAGCCCGGACCAATATGGCCTGGAAATATGAATCATTCTGAGGCTGCTCAGAAAAGACTACACAGTTAGAATACAGGGAAAAACCGTGACACCATTATGTTCGGGCTCAGGTGGGCAGGATTAAAGAAAAAAGGTGGAGATTCGACAGAATCTTCACCAGCATAAAAGAGAGCGCACAGAAAGTGAAACTTCAGTCCTGCTCAGGAGCTTGACTCATTGAGTTGTATGTGTTGTTGCCTGCTAGCACATTAAACTCAGTTGCACTTGATTCTACGTGTCTCCAGTGATTCCTTGACTACAGAGTACTTGAGTTTAAGGTATTTAATAGAAAAGAAAGTAAGTTCAATCTGAAAGTTGAAGACGAGGTCGGGAGCCATCAGGCCCAACTCCAGGCCCCGAATTCTGCTTTATCACAAGACAAGTTTGCAAAATGAAAAAAGGTAGTTTTTTCAAGCGTAACATACGGTAAGTTTAGTAACAAGTAAAAATTATAGTAGAAATGGTTGACATGAAAAAAAAAACACAATATAAAATTATACTTCATGTATAGCTTACAGCGCTTGGAACAGCAGTGAGTAAATACCAAATTCTGGTATCGGTGAAGGAATAAAAGCTGCCTTTACAATTAAAGTGAGGATAGTGCAACAGTCGGTGAAAAAAATATTGCAGCAGTCCCTTCGTAACAGAGGTAAGGTGTAAAATGCTATATATACTGGCTGTGAGTAATCAGGAACAGGTGAATAAAGTAGTAGCTGGAATAGGAGCTGGGTGGCTGAGCATGCAGAAATGAGCAGGTGTACAGCAATGCAGAACTGTGACACAGCCTCCCTCCCAGATGAAAAGAGCAGTGTACCCACCTCTACCACTTTGTTTTTTTGTTAGGTTTTGTTGCTATTCTGTGGCAATGAAACCTTTGACGCCACTCTGGCCATTGTTTTTTCATTTCATTTTTTCAGTAGAGCTTTGCCATCTTCTGATACTATGTAGTGTTATGTGGAAAGATAACTAGGAGATAACTATAAATAGGTGATGGTATCTTTAGCTAACTTTATTAGCTCAACATTAGCATAACACTGGATCCACGAGACTCTGCACATACCAGGTGACATTACACAAAAGGTCACCACTCTCTGCACTACAATAAAACAGTACCATTACAGATACAACACAACATGCTTTATATGTTCAACCAGAGAGGGCAGCAATAATTAACATTAATATAGCCCCAATGTGTCCTTCTCATGTATAAGCAGTATATTCCAGTCACATAGATAAGCATACATACATACATAAGCATACATATTTCTGAAAAACAAACAAAACAAAACAAACCCCATGATTTTTGACAAGCCCAGAAGGTAGTGTAACAGCTATGACTGTGTTTTTTGACAAATTCCTTTAGCCCTCTGGATTAAGAGATATCCTGTCCACTGTATAATAAAATAATACCAACTCTATTTCCAAATCCAAACAAAGATGCCAGCTAGAAATGGCATATGTCCCAAAACTTGTAAGTATCAGCAATATTTATCTATATTGATTTGATTTGATTGTTTCTTTTTTCACCTTTAAATTTTCATACAAAATGACGTGTTTATTTCTTTCTTTTGTCATAAAAAGACCAAGACCAAGGACTGTCTTTTCTGGCTACATGGCATAGGAAACAAGTCGGAACAGGAAGTCAGCCTGCTTAATTGTGCAGCAGACACTGAAGATTCTAAAAATACCTTCAGAACATACAATTATAAATGTTGTCAAATCACTTTCTGGGTTTTTTTTAAAGATTTCTGGGAATTTATCTTTCAGAAAAAATTAATGTTTAGCTCTGTGACTTGGAAGAAATGATAATAAAGGAGAGGCATACACAAGGGCTAGACACAACAATAATAGGGGGCACATCTGATGGAGCAGCACATGGCTACCCCTCACTGTTGTAGCTCCTACAGAAATCAAATCCAGCTTGCTGATTGGCTTACCTGTTCACCATGTCATGGCAGACACCTCCATTCTGACAGGGCTCACTGGCACACTCATCAACATCAACCTCACAGTTGATGCCGTGAAACCCAGGCAGACACACACAGGAGTACATGCCAATCAGGTCTTGGCAGGTGGCTCCGTTGTGACAGGGGCTGGACTCACACTCATCTATTTCAATTTCACAGTTGACTCCTGTTGGAGAGGGAACATGTAAGTAATGATGATGATGAGGAGGAGGATAATGATGATAATAGTGATGATAAAATGAAGATGTCATATCTGGTGAATGTGGTTATTGTTTACAGTCAAATGATCACTCACTTTTTTTGTAAATCAACACATCAACCACACTGATCTGCCCTAATGGCTACATCAGTCTGTCTATTCTGGTCGTCAGATACCCAGGATGATAAAATCCTTTCTTTAGGTACTCCAAACAAAATGATAGGGTGACAGGGGAATGCAGCGGTGCTGATCTAACCCGACCACTCACAGATAACACGAAGCTCCTCTAACACAGAGCAGGCTTGTGGAGAAAGAAAGGAGTGTGAGAGAACCAAGATGGTGTGTTTTCTCTCACTCTGCATGGAGACTTTATCTGGGCTGCAGATAAGATGCTCAACAATATCTTACTGTGCTCTTAAAATACTCCTCATGCCCAGTTTATCAGGAACAAACAAAACCCTTTGGAATTAACAAATGATGGTGAGGAACAAGAAGCAGAAAAACTTCCACAGCGAGCAGAAGGTCCTTGTGTCACTGCATGCACTGTGTTCTTTGATTAATTATGACATAATATTAAACAACTTACAGCTTTAGGCAAACGCAAACACACATCTAGGAGGCTTCTATCTCTGAAGCAAATATAAAGTAATATTACTGTATTCAATAATTTGTTGATACAAACTTTTGATGTTTTGCTTTTTTTTCCCTATCAATTTCTCAAACCGATTAATCATTTATTAGATTGGTCGGCGATTGATTTAGTAGTCAATTATAAATCAACTGGTCGATTAATTGTTGCAGCTCTACCGTAATTAGTTTGGTTGTCTTCATCCCTGCTGTAACAACTTAACGATAAATAATTGATCAAAAAACAAACAAACAAAAAAAAAAAATCAGTTTTCAAAAACCTCTTGGTTGAATGCAAATTAAAGTATTGAAGACTGGAAAAAAAGAAAAAAAAAAAACTAACCTCCTCATTATACACTGGCACCTTGTAATTCCTGTGGATCATTTGCGCAGAGGCCGTCCCACCCAGTGCCCAGCGCTAGTTTTCTGGATAACCTGCTGCTCGTACTCTGCGGCGTGTGCCTGGTGTGCCCGCCCTGCGTGAACCAGTGCTCGCTTTGGCTGGATCTTCTGTTCTGGTGCGCCTGCTTTGCAAGCTAGATGATGCCCATCTGCTGCTACTCTGCCTCCTCTCCCTGGGTACCAAGTCACTACTGTGGATTATCGCCAACACCGCTGCCACACCGTGGTGCAGGGCGCCTCTGTAGGGTACCCCTGCATGACTGCTACCAGCGCACTCTCTACTCCTCTGTTCCTGCAAGGCTAGTCTTTCAGCTTCCTCATATTCAACAGGATCATCAATTTGCTGGATTACATTGTTTCTATACCCTCTCCTCATTATGTGGATTATGAACCTTGGATCGCTCTGTGTCTCTCTCTCACAAGTGCGTCTGTCCCGCTGCACTATTCTGCAGTGGAGCTGCTGCGTCTCCGGTCCTATTCCAGGACCCCTCCAGATCTGCTCACCCATCTTGACGTTCTTAGGCAACCAAGATATGTCCATCATGGATCTGGTCGGAATTTTCATTGTACACAACACACCAACAAAGCCAGTATTTCCTCTTTCTGGTCCACTCAACCCCACCCCTCTCGCACCTGCACCTGCACCTGCACCTGCACCCGGACCTGCACTGTCAATCAAAGTGTGTTATACCCCGTTCCCAAGGCATCCACCTATGTGCCATTTGTCTGTTTGAAACTGGCTCTCTTCAGCATACGATATCTCACTAGTAAGGCCCTGCTGGTTTCTGAACTCAACATGTACTAAAAGCTTGCCTTCTTATGCCTCACTGACCTGGCAACAGCCAAACGACTTCTCCCAGCTTAACGAAGCTGTTCCACCTGGTTTTGCTTACATTAGTAAACCCCAAGCTGCAGGGAAGGGGGGGGCATTGCTGAGCTATATCGTGCTAGCATTAAAGTCACTGCTGTCATTGCACCCCATCACACTTCTTTCAAATGCTTAGCAATAAAACTCACATGTCCCAAACCCATCATTATTGCTGCCATCTTCTGACCACCAAAGCCCTCCACTGTTTTTTTTCACTGAATCCTCCTCACTATTAAAATATAGGTGCCATATCCCCCACTGTCATCCTTCTGGATGACTTTAATTTCACATTGATGACCTATCCAATCCTTTTGCCAATGATTTCGTCTCACTCCTTGACTGTCTCAGTATTAAACAATATGTCAACCTTTCAACACATAACAAGGGTCATACACTGGACTTAATCTGTTTCACTGGTATCATTCCCTGTGTAGCCAGATGGCCTCTCCCTTCTGGCCACTGCATGGCACTGTGCCAGGTTTACCTGTGCTTTGGTTATGGGGGGGCACCTGGCGCGTCTATATATAAAGGTGGGCGGCCTCACCTCGTTCTCTTTCCTTCAGCTTCAAGATCTCCTCGTGGAGGTGGCTTCTGCCCGGCATGGTGGATCTGTGTTGTGTGGCGTGGCAACATCAAGGCGCACGGTATATTCACATCTACAGCTAATGCGCTTTCTCGTTCTTATGTGCAATGTGCGCTTGGTGACATTGATCTCCACTCTGTTGTGCAGCTGGCTGCTGAGGCTCAGGGAGACGGGTCGCTCTCCTCAGGGTGCTGTGGGTTGCGTGTCATGCCTGCATGGTAAGCTGACGTTGTCTGCCTTTAACACCTTGTCTGTTATTCAGGTCCTGGTTGACTGTTTAATACTGTATGTTTACTGCAGTGTAATTGTGCCACAGATTTTTGTGGCTCTCCTCCATCTGCTTGCTGCCATGCTCTGCCTCTTATGTATTGCTCGTATTACATTAAGGGTAATTATCAAATCAAGAGCAACTAAGAATAATCATATTGTAAAAATGATTGATCAATTATGTGCATTTTTTAGGCTGCAGTTAAGTGTGTGGCCACATCATAGGCCACCACTTCCTGGGGTGAACTGCTCTATGCTCTACCACTCTGCCATAGATTATTGTGTTGCTCACACCATAAGCAACTGTTTTGGCTGTGTTGGGCTCGGCTCCATGGTGTGGCGTTGTCCTGTGGCTCTGGTGTTGATAGGAGCATTCTGACTTGGGCTGTCGTCGGGCCCCAGACAAGCATAACCCAAAGCCACCTGCAGACTCTTAAGTTTTACAGAGTGTGCATGGCCTTAATTGTGTTTTAATGTGTATTTTTGATTCTTTGCTTTGTTGAGTCAATTAATGAAATTTCTTTTGTATATTTGGGTTCAAATTTTAATTCATGGTCAATGGAGTGAATGTTGAGTGAGTGCAAGTTTTTTTTTACAGGTGATCATCATTTCAGTTGTGTGGTCACTTGGGACTGTTAGCCCTTTAAGGCAGGCATACTGGCTTTTGTTATATTTTCTTTGGACAGGCATGATGGGCTGCGGCAGCAGTCCAATCCCCTGGTGGTGGTGTTTCATGAGTCCCTTTTGTTGGTGTGCTTAGTCACAGGTGCTGGATTAGTTTAGGACATGTGAATTTCCCAAGTGTGGGATTAATAAAGTTTTATATTATCTTATCTCTTATCTTATCTTATCTGACCCTTTCGTTTTTTGTGTGTGTTTGCTCCCTGCCACCATGGTAAGCCCAGCTTGTTCTAACATTTGTTAGTTGGTTTCTTCTTCCTTTTGTCGTTAAATAAAATCATTTTTTTATTGGAACACGTCCCCTGCCCTGGTGATATGAAACCTCTGTGCCTTAACAATTGTTGATAATGTATAATACAATTTGTATCATATAAAATATAATTTCCTGGGGGTGAAATTCCCCTGGGTGGCGTTGTTGCAAAACATTCCGATACCCTGCTCCTGCCACACCTGTAATCTCTTTGCCACCAAGTTCCTCGTCTCTGATCATAAAGTTGTGCTGTTTGAGGTTCATGCCTCATTATCCAAAGTTAAAGAGCATTGGACTATCTCCTTCAGAAACATTAAAAACATCAGCATTACAGACCTCACTACCCTGATCACCTCCAACCCCAGGCTTTCCCCATCATCCTCCACTGCTGACTTGGTGAATCACTACAACTACTGTCCTTCCTCTTCCCTTGCTGTCCTGGTCCCCCTAAAAAGCCGTACAGTCTCCTTTACCCAGACAGCTCCCTGGTTTACCGCTGATCTCTGCCAGCCGAAAACTGCTGGTCATTGACTGGAGCGGCAGTGCAAAAAGACTGGACTTTCAGTACATACCCAAACGAATACTGAACACCTACATCACTATTAAAATGCTCTTTCCACTGCCAAATCCTCATACTACTACAACCTCATTAGTACTGCCAAAAATAACACAGGCCTGTTCACAACAGTCAGCCACCTACTCTAACCTCCTAAAACTCTGCCCCAAAAAACATACTGATTAATGCTCTCTCCTTCTGGACTTCTTCATTAACAAAATGAACACCATCCACGCACAGTTGCAGTCTTCATTTACCTCCTCAAAGGACCCACCCTGGATGGTTACAACAGGCCAGCCATTCATTAGCCCCCTCTCCCACTCCCACAACAGAAGAAACCATCTCTGAGCTCATCTGCAAAGCAAAGCCAACCACCTATCAGCTGGATCCCCTACCCACTACTCTCCTCAAAGCATGCCTGCCATCCGTGTCCCCCATGATAACTGCAATAATCAACTGGTGGTGCTGACCCAGCTGACCTTAACCACTACAGGCCAGTCTCTAAACTCCCCTTCATTTCCAAAATCCTGGAAAAGGTGGTTGCCTATAAACTTCAGTCCCATCTTGACTCAAACAACCTCCATGAACCCTTCCAATCTGGTTTCTGCCAAAAACACAGTACTGAAACAGCCCTGGTTTAAATTACCAGTGACCTCCTCTGTGCAGCTGACTTTGGACTGCTTACCATCCTTATCATCCTTTTTCTCGATCTCAGTACTGCGTTCGACACCATCTCCCACCCACTACTCCTGGAACGCATGGCTGATATGAGGATCACTTGTGTTGCCTTTTCGTGGTTTACGTCCTATTTCACTGACAGAAAACAGATTGTCCAGATGAGGAACCACAGGTCGAGGTGTTCTGCTGCTGGGTGTCCCCCAGGGGTCAGTATTGGGTCCATTTAATTTATCATCTACCTCATTCCCCTGGGCACAATCCTCCGTCACCATGGTGTTCATTTCCATTGCTACGCAGATGACACACAGTTCTACATCTTATCTAAACCCTTCACTGCCCTTCCTCCCATTATAATTGACTATTATAATACAGTACTCTCTGGCCTTCCCACCAAACTCATTAACAGGCTTCAAATCATTCAAAACTCTGCTGTCTGGATCATCACCCTCACCCTCATTCTCATCCAACTACACTGGCTTCCTGTTCAGTACCAGATTGATTACAAAAATCTTCTGCTCCCCTTTAAAGCCCTCCACAACCTAGCCCCCACCTATCTCTCTGACCTCCTCCAGGAGTGCACCCTCTTCCACTCCCAACGCTCTTCCTCTGCTGGTCTCCTGAGCATTCCCACCTCACGCCTCAGCACCATGAGCGCCAGGGCTTTCAGCTGCACCCACTCCTGACTGCCACACATTCAACAGTCCGACAGCATAACATCACATCTCAAAACCCACCTGTTCAAAATGGCTTATGAACTTTAACACTGACAACAATATTCACCTTCATTATGTGCTCTACAACTTTCACATGATGTCATTAAATTTTTTTCATTTCTTGTGTGATATTTTTCTCAACATCATGTGCAATATTACTTTTTAATATCATGATCACTTATCAATGTAGTGCAATATCATTTTCTCATCCTCTCTTCCGTCTCAGTTTTCGTCCCATATAGTCCATCCATTCCTTTGGTGTGATGCATGATGAGATATATTACTTAGTTGGTGACCGCTGCTTGTACAGTACTGTTCACAGTGCACTGTGGGATACTTTCAGTCCACTATATAGGGTATAATAATTCCCACTTTACATTCAGAAAGCACTTCAAAATGGCTCTATATCGTGGACTATATAGTTCACAATATAGTGAGTAATTTCAGACACAGCCCTTGTGAGAGTGCAGTCCTACTAGTGATCTATTGTACTGAGCATACCAACCAAAAGGGAATGCCTTCATGGCAACAGTATACTTTCTGTTTACATACCCTAAAGCCCCCAAGTTGTAGCAACCGCTATTCTAAAATTTCTCAGATTATTCCCCAAGTATGACAAAGAGCAATTGTGATATAATAATAGGAGTGACAGAAATTCATATCAAATAAAATGAAGGGAACTGAAGCACCTGTATTTAGACTTGGGTACTGATTCAAAAAGGTAACAGTTGGCTGATAACATGTTTGTAATTTGAATGGACACCAGCTAAGCAGTTGTACAGTATATCTCTGTGTGTGTACTTGTGCATGCTACATAGTGAGGACACATGTTTTTTAGCAACAGGGTTAGGGCATTTTTGCAAAGTGCGGACATTTTTGCTGATCCTCACTTCTTCAGAGGCCTGTTTGAGGGTTAAGACTTAGTTGTAGGGTTTGGGTTACAGTTAGGTTTAGATTAGGTTTAGGGTCAGGGTTGGGGTTAGGCATTTAGTTGTGACGGTTAAGGTTAGGGTTAGGGTCTAGGGAATGCTGTAAATAAGGGTCCTCACAAAGATAGAAGTATGTGTGTGTGTGTCTTTTGGATGTACCTGCAAAGCCCACCAGGCACTCACACTCATAGTGGTCCTTCTCATTGATGCAAGTGGCGTTGTTCTCACAGGGTCGTGACGCACACTCATTAATGTCGATTTCACAGTTATAACCCTGAAAACCAGGCACACAGAAGCAGTGGAACTCTGCAACTCCATCTATACAGATAGCTCCATTCTGACAGGGTTTCGATAAGCACTCATTCACGTCTTCCTCACAGGTCTTCCCCTCGAACCCTGGTGCACAGCTGCATTCAAAGCCCTCTGGTCGTAAAACACAAGTCCCATTGTTCCTGCAGGGTTCATCAATGCAGTCAGTCACATGTGTCCTGCAGTCCCAACCTCCATACCCAGCAGGACATCTGCAGAAGTATCCGTTTTGCTGGTCAACACACAAAGAGCGAGGTTCGGAGCATGGGTTGCTCAGACACTCGTCTACCTCCTCTGTGCAGTTATCACCTGTTAGTCCATCTGGGCAGATGCAGTGGTACTCTGTGCTGCCAGGGGTGCTGGTGCAGTCATCACATGGAGCAAAGGAGCAGGCATCATAGAGTTTGTCACAGTTTTTTCCCATGTATCGAATCCCCTCCCTGGCACAGATACATGCATAATCATCCATGGTGTCCACACAGGTAGCTTCATTCTGGCAGGGTGCAGACAAACATTTGTCTGAAGTGGCTGTGCAGAGGATTCCTGAAAAACAAAGGAAACATTATGCTGAAGATTATTTAATGCAGGCCTATCTACCACAGACCAGTGTTTCACAGCTATAGGGACAGGACTCCTAGATGTGTCCCAAGGAAAAATAGAGGAAGTTTTCATTTTTACTGCAGTCCACAATTTCTGCGTAGGACCCAAAATTGAGTTTCACAGAAAACAATGCATGCATGTACTCTGTCATGACCGGTCATAATTCCATCTTATTTATCTATCATCTTCTACAGCTGTATCAGAACTGAATTTCCTGTCACACAACTCCTAATGTAATGTTAACATGTCCAATAAAAATGTACCTAGTGAACTACAGTAAGGCTTTCTGTTGTAATTTGAAATCCCCCCTGTGTCAGAGACACAGGAGAGGAGGGGAGTGAAAGCTGCAGCGGCACCTGTAGCTTACACAGACAAACTCGCTCTGCTCGGTCACAAAGCTTTTTCGGTAAATGTGCACGGTCAAAGTCAAGTGTGTTGTTTTTTTTTTTAAAATAAACTTCATGGAGATGTTAGTCAATAGCAGATTTGACATGAGACATAACATGAACATGAAATAAGATAATGCCAGGGGATCAAAGAATGTAGATAAAAATGATACATTAGCTGCCTTGGAGAAATGTGGAGAAAGGTAACTCAGTGGTTTTGATGGCTTTTCTGTTTTTAGAATGTTGGATTGTTATAATGTATTGTTTGAACTCCTTTTCAAAAATTAAAAATTTGGATTTATGAATATGGTATTTTGCAAGTAACAAAATTAAATTGATGATGTAATATTGATCTGTTTTGTTAGGAGTATAAGAGAAGAAACCTTCCACAAATCTTCTAGTTGTAGAACCAGAAGGACTGAACAACTACTGCCCACTGACTCCATATATGGTGCATGGAAAACTTCTGGTCTCACCCAAGGCATTTTCACTTCACTGAGGTAAGCCTACTATTTGTTTTTAAAGTTAAGTATATTAATCATTTTTTCTCCTTAACAATTCTGCCAGAAATGGGGTGAATTTGGTTTGAATTCAATCACTCTGATTATACATACAGGGTTCCCACATGATATATTTCCTGGAAAAGTTATGAAATAATAAAAATTGAGAGAATGTTTTGAATATACACTGTTTTTGACTGCTTCTCTTCTCATCTTCTCTTCCTCTCCTACCCTCATCTCCTTCTCTTCTCTTCCTCTCCTCATCCACAGACATCTGTACTGACCAGAAGTGGGGAAGCAGTAATATGCCAAACGTGGAAGTGATTGAAAGTGATTGTGCAAGTAGCCTATTTACACAATTGTTGATGTGCAACTGTTAAATACTTTTAAAAACAAAGAAACGGTGCGACTGTTAAGCTTTTATTTTATTACATTTATATATATTCTTATCTATAGTTTAGTTTAGTTTTAATATAAAACTAAAAGTACTTCTGTTAAGCGCCTTAAGCACCTTTGGCTGGCATTTTTCATGTTCACTGTTCTATGCCTGAACTTGAGATTGAAAAGATGGTGAAAATAAATATTTTTTTAAAAAAGTAATTCGTTTTCCACTCAGTCATTTTAGAAAATAAGTGATTTAGTTGACTTGACATATAATGCTATTGAAAGTATTGATCAAACTTAAGATTGTTAATGAGGTCAACTTTTACAGAAAAAGTTACCTTGCTGCCTTGAAATTTTATGTTGATTCAACTAAGGGGCTATGTTGGAATAACTTATATTTCCTTGTTTCTGAAACAAATGTAGAAATACATGTTTGTTGGTTAGACTTGTAATGTAATGTCACCTCAACTAAGCAATAAGTTCATACAACTTAAATTTCCTTGTTAGTAATACTAAAAATGTTATTGACTAAACTTAAAATATCAAGTTGATCAAACTGTTTGTCACTTTCAGAATAGTCCCTTTAACTTAATATTGTAAGTAATAGGAACTTGCTTGGAAGTGTAAAGAACTAGGTATCTTTAGCTCACTTAATTCAAGATTTTAAGGCAGCAAGGTAACTTGTGTTTTTTTTTGTTGAGCCAACAAATTAATTTTTACAGTGTGGGAGGATGGTGGGCAGGGCCTGCTTATTAATTATTTTTTAATTACAATATGTGTTTCCTTTAGCAGCAACACATAAGTAGATGACCTGAAATGACTAAGTGTAACTAAAGTAGGTCAGCTGTTACACTTATTCATTCTGACATTCCCTTTAATCTGCTCTCACTTCATTTGTAGAAGAGTCCTGGCACTGATGTTTAGATGCAGAAGGGTTAAGTCCTTACATATGCTCTATAGCTAAACCATCAAACATATGTCTCAGTGTCTGCTTTGTTTTAAGTATAAATCTTTTGACTTTCCAAAGCAGTTGTCAACGATTGCGAAAAACCCTCTGAACTAAAAAACTGCAACAGCTACTCTTTGCTGTTTGATTAGGATGTATATGCTGATACTGAAAACATATTCAAACACAGAAAGAGTCATTGGAGCTTTCAGATCTTCAGGAGTGGTGAGGACCAACGATGTTCTATAGGTCAGGAGTGTTGAGAACCAATGAATGTATGTAGGTCGGGAATGGTGAGGACCAACGATGTTAGAGCTGAGGAGCAGTGATGTTGGCTGGATGCTGGCAGGTGGAAGAGCACTGTTGACAGCAGGGAGCTGACAGGTGGAGGAGCAGTGATGTTGGCTTGGTGCTGGAAGGTGGAGGAACACTGTTGTACGCTTGGTTCTGGTAGGTGGGAGAACATCGTTGTTGGCTGGGCGCTGGTAGGTGGAAGAACAGTGATGTTGGCTGGGTGGTGGATGCTGGCTGGATGCTGGCAGGTGGAGGAAAAGTGAGGTTATTTTGGTTATGGTAGGTGGAGAAGTGACTGGGTGCTGGAGTACTTGTGGGAGCAATGGTTAATCCAAATGTCTCCGTTGCAACAACCAGTGGGGTTGGTAGCACTTTTGAACTGTGTGGGGGTTTCTAGATGTTGACGCTTGGCTACTGTTGTTCCTTTCTACCTTTTTGGATTGGCTCTTGCTTCCAAGATGGCCATCTTGTAGATCCTGCTAGGATCTACATGCATCATCGTGCAGGAGATTCACTTGTTCACAGTGGCAGTATTGCACCAGAACCAAGAGTGCGGTTTCTTGATAATGAACAGAGACAATTTGTTTTTTTCTGTCATTTCGTTTTGTTTTTTTTTGCCTCAATTCTCAACCGTAGCCGTATGAATCTTTTAATGATTTTTTCTTTTACTCCACAGCATGATGGAAGCCTGCTGGAAAGTGCCTGAGCTTCTTGCTCCAAGACACCCACTGCGTCTGGGAGCTCCATGAAGAAGGAACCGGTCCTGGTCCTAAACAGTTCTTTGATTTTGTGGATGAAATCATAGGCCTCTTGGGAGGGATGACAAAGAGCACCTGCCTTAAACTCTTTAAGGTCCACCAGGACTGTCATCATTGTGCTCTGTTGCAATTTTGCATTTTTCACGGATGCTGGCAAACTTGATGACTTTGTGGATGATGTAGCCTGCGAGATGGAAGAGAATGCATTTCTCCGTTTTTGTGAGGTCAGGTGCTGTTCTGTACACTGCCATCAGCTGTTCCACCCTGACGGAGTGACATTTTGCTCCACTGTGTCCAGGAAGTCTGCCAAAAAGGTATTGTCATCTTCCTGGTAGCTCCCTGACCTGATGGTTGTGAGGAACTGCCCCACAGATATGATTCGCAGTGCATGGTGGAATTCCACTGGAGTTGGGACAGGACTTTGAGATCTCACACAGCTGTTTTCAAGGCAGTCTTGTGTGAACGTAGATGTCAACACAAACCTTTTCACCAGATGCGGGACATCAGACATGAAATGGAGCTGCCTGTCTGGTGTTGCTGGATGTGGCACTGATGTTGTCTTGTGGTCGACACCAAAGGATTTCCACATGGCCCAGTTAGGGCTACCCATGTCAGTGGTGACATTAAACACATGTAGCCCGATGGATGCTGCCTTCTTTATAATTTCAATAATTATTGGCCTGTACTCTGCTCCATCTGTCGAATTACTACTGTAATGATATGCCACTACTTGCTTCCTACCTTGTTGTGTTTCCAGCCAACATAAACACACAAGCATGTGTGGCTACTCCTGTGTGACCTGGTAACGTCACATCACCATACAGTTTGCCTGTAAGCATGTGGAGCTCCACACTGAGTGTAAATGCCATTTCATCCAGGGTCAACACACACTCCCTTTCAAGCTCGGTTAGTCCATCTACCTTCAGTTTTAGAAAATCAAAGACCTCTGTTAACACACCAGGCTCAAATTTAACACACTGCATCCTTCTTTGCAGTGTTTGGGTTCTTATTCCTGGTAGGGGAATCTGCAATTCCTGCAAGGTTTTGTAACATGTTGGACCAGCAGCAAAGCAGATTTTTAAGGCCTTTTTAATGGTCTCATTGCTCAATTTCATCCCTTTTGTGGTTAGTTTTCCTAATGCCTTCATTTGGTCTTTTGAAAAAGTTATTGTTATTATTATTGTTATTATTTTTTTGTCCCTAATTTCCATTGCCATCTTGAGAGCTGCATTTTCCTTCCTTAATTTTTGTGCCTTCTTAATCAGTGCTGCCGTTGCTTTTTTGGTGATATTTTCTTATTTCTTTAATTTTTTCCAATGGGTCCAACTGACTGGCTGCTGGCTTACTGGTAAGCTGACTGGTTACTGGCTCATTGGTAAGCTGACTGGTTGTTGGCTCACTGGGTAGTGTCAGCTCTCCCTCTGTAGTATGCATGCCAGGCCAATGGGTGGCAGTGTACATTTGCAAAGCATGACGCCATGCACCTGCGCTGAAGCGCCTTCCTCTACAACGCAGTGATTACAAACCAAAACAAAGAAGACACAATGGCGAAAGCATGCACAGATAACTTTGTCTGGATGGACGACGAGGTGAAGTTGCTACAGTAACAGATCTACAATTAACTTCAAATCAACAGGGTGAGCAGCACAAACAGAGCTCGGCATTGTTGTTGTGA